TACTAACTTGGTAAAATGTTATTCAAAAAATTACATAAAAAACTTCCTCGATCAGTCCATTTTTGGGGATAGACGATGCACAGGCTATGGAAAATAAATGGGACTTCCTCTCTTCTGCCATGCTCATAACAACAACAACAACAACAACAAGATAATATTATCATTACCGGCGTAAGCAGCGTCCACATGCACCCAAATGCTTTCGGCGTTGCCCACCTCGGCGATCTCGTCCAGGCGGTCGAACGAACAGCAGCTGGTGGTGCCCAGTGTCGCCACCACGAAGAACGGGATCAGGCCGTCCGCACGGTCCTTGGCTATGGCATCGCGCAGCGTGTCGCCGCGGAGCTTGTGCTCGCCATCTGTGTCCAGTGCACGGAGCAGCACGCCGCCCAGCAGGCCAGCGCGCTCCACGGACGAGTGGGATAACTCGGACGAGTACGCAACCAACTTGGGAACAATGTCCGCGTCCACAATCTTCGGATCCGCCTGTTTCATTATCTGCAGTATCCGCGCCTTAGCGCCCAGCAACGCCACCAAAGTGGCTTCGCTAGCAGTGCCCTATATTCGTCATAAATTATAAAATTAATTTGCATGTAAAGTTTTTGGTGCTTGAATAGAAGTAATCGGAGTAGAGATTGGGACGTTCACCAAAAAAAAAAAAATAATAATAAAAATTGATAATAACACAAATTTCATAAAGATAAATATGTATACCGAACTTGGTGATTGTAGATCTGCAGAGAAAAACTGTACATTCGTATGCAATACTAACTATTTAACAGTAAAAGTATTATATGCGATCTTATGTATAAAACAAATTATTATAATTCGATTTTTTCTCATACTTAAATTCGTGGTAAAAGTTCACCAGTTAAGTCGTAAAACTGATTTTCGATATAATAGACGATATAGGAATTACAATAGAATATTGATTCCTAATTAAACTTTTTTCAGTTTATTAATAATTACTATACGACTATAGGTATAGTAAACTATAATATAGTTTAAAACTATCACAGGTGCCTACTGATCAAAATTAGTTCATCATCAATATCATTGAAAWTATTCATTGATTTTAATTAGTAGGTATACTTAAATGGTAAAATATTTTAAAAAAGAATTTCGTTTATTAGTTTCTACATCATACAAACCAAATGTGGATAAGCAAAACTGAAGAATTTAATTTAAGATTAAAAAACGGGGAAAGTGCGGTTGTGTKTCGTCCTATAATAGGTAAAGRTACCTAAGTTTTGACTTTGGAGTGYATGTACTTATTATGTACTTATGGCACTCAGTTAGGTTCTGAGCGAATACGGTGTATCAGCCTTTATTTCTTAGGGCATCAAAATGCTCTTGCAACCCTGCGGAGCATCACCGTTTTCCGCCAAAGGTTAAATTCCAATTTCCGTCAAAGCTAATAATAAACATATTTTTCTTATCTTAAGATATTTTTTAAGAACCCCTAATAATTTTTTAATTAAATTCGGTARTGTATCTTAAAAGTATTCAGAATGCATTTAGAAAAAACATATTTTATTATCATTGTGACAAGTATTCGAATATTAATTTTCAATACATTTAAATGGTAGTATTTTACCTGACTATGATTATTTATTATATTTGGTAATGGGACTCCAGGTCAAGATCATTATCATAAAACATCTCACTGTATTATTTAAATAAATACCAAAATTAAAAAGATATTTTGAAAATTTAATACATTTTGTGTATACTGTATATTTTGTTTTTAAAATGTTAATAATCTTTTTATCTATGCTGTATCTATAATATATATTTACCTAATATATTATTTATAGGTAAACTTTAATTTTTAATCAAACGATAACAGAATAATTAATAGCTTTCATGACGTCAATAAAATACAGTTATTGTATTATCATTAAAGTTATATTGGTAGGTATAAGAAACATAAACTACTCAGTAAGAGAATTAAAATTCTAACTAAACAGGTTTTTAGAACAGCATTATTTTGAAATGTACGAAATTGAAATAATTTTTAAATTCTACGGTATAATTTTCAAGGCTAGGTAAATAGATAGTAGTTTAAACACTTTTTCGTAAATATTTGATAAAATATCATCTGCACTTGGTAAAATAATTCTAATATTTTCGATATATACATATATGATATATGTATACATAAAAATATTGATCGGAGAGTAGGTATATAAAAACTTAAGTCAAAAGTATTAATCAACTTTACTTAGGATATTTTGATAATATAGCAGGTTATTTTATGTAGGTTTATTTTAATCTAACCTAACTTAACTTAACCTAACCTGATAAAAGTACCTAACTAAGGAAATCTATAATGCAGTAAAACCTCTCTAAAAAGGAATCGCTTGGGACCAAACATTTTTCCGTTATAAAACGTTTTCCGGCATAGAGAGGTAGAAATTGCATATATATTTGCACCGGAACTATTGACATTTTTCGTTATAAGGAGGATTCCGTTTAATAGAGGGTCCATTATAGAGAGGTTTTACTGTATTATAATAGTATAATAAATAAGATTTTTATGATTATAGGCTTATACAAGGTGTCCTTTGAGGATATACCCTTTATTCGTAGAGAGGGACTTGCCGCCTGGATAAAAACCAGTTTTTTCCATCTTATCTATATAAACTAAAAAAAATTATTAAAAAAATCATAATAGTGAAAATAAAATGTTGAAAGGTCAACATTTTCAGCAACATCAACTCTATAAATAGGTATCTTTATTTTTTTTTAAATAAAATACAAGTAGCCCTTGTCTACGTGAGTCTAATAAAATAAAYAGATTTATGATATATTTATTATCTTAGGAGATATCGCAATGGGTAAATTCTTGCGGGACACCCTGTATTTATAGGATTTAACACTTCAGTTTGAAGGAAAATACTCGTTTTGATATAAACTTATATATTACAACATGCGAACCTGAATTACTCCACCACCTCCCTGGCCAGCAGAGGCTAAGAAAATTTCTGGCAAGCCTATCATTTTTGCCAACCAATCCATCATGACCACTTCCAATTCAGTACACGCTGGGCTTGATATCTGAAACACATGGTATAAATATGTATATTAAAAGAATTAATGTAGTTACCAGCTAATAAACAGTGTTTGGAACATCAATTTAATGCTCTCAAATTCATTAAAAACAAGAATTTACTAGCATGTTTCATTCAAAAATAATGTATTCAAATGATATTTTAAAAAAACCTGATATTAATATTATAATAACTATAATAGTGGTGACAGAATTATTAGAGATTTTAATATCTATAGGCTATAATTATAATATTATGGCTGCGATATATATTAAGCAATGTATTAGCGGTACTGTCATATAGGTATTTTTTTAAATCATCGATTTTATCGCAAAACTACAATCAATTTGCATTATCATTCATGAAAAATTTAATGCAAAACTATTGAATATTTGATTTATCTTAAATACACTGAATAGATGTAAGTATTTAACCCTAAGTCCCAAACAGCTCATAGTAGATTCCATTTATAATTGATTTGAAATTGTTTCACTGTATGTGCAGAATAATTTGTTTTTGYAAAAATATTCAATAATGTTGGTTAATTGTTAACGTTTAATTAATGATTTACCCATGAAAATCCTATGCAAGCAATTGAATCGCTCAGTATGTCAGCGACAATGGCCGGGTAGCTATTTGCCGTAGGGAAATAAGCATGAAATCTTGGAGAATGCCAATGAGTAACCTATAAAACAGACGAACATACAATTTAATTAATATAAAACTAACTTTCGTAATAATATGTATTATTGATGAAGTCGATGGTTTACCCCAGGCATAATTAGCTTTTCGACGTCAGACATCACATCTTTCCAGTTTTCAGGATCATTAGGCGCCTCGGTTGGCAAAAGTGGTCTTAAGTAACCAGGTTTTACCGATGACAATACTTTCCTATAACATTAATTATTCAATAAAATAATATCGTAATATTATGTTGACAAGTACGTATATTAGTCATAAAAATCCCTAATATTAAAAACACTGAAACACTACTCTTATTCTATATACTGCGCATATTAAGATTAAAACATTTAAAAGACGTATTTTACTGGTAATCTTACTAGTATAAATGTGTTGCCAGCAACTACTGTTGTTCAAAACTATTTAACATGACAATATTATATATTAATAAAATCCACGAAATCCATTTATCATTTTAATGTGTATGTTTCCTTAAAATATGTATACTTACCAACATCATAATGTATTTAATATTATTTTAATGGATTTAAGAATCAAACCAAATTAATATTTAAATATTGCTTGTAGTTTTATATAACACTTTAAAAGCCGTTRTCTAAATCAATCTAAATTTAATCTAGGTAAATATAAAATATTTTAAATCATTATATTTATCTATTTAACCTATCTGATATTTTTGTAGGAAATTTTATAGCAATTTAGTTTTAGTTAATTTATTAATTTATCTAATAAGACCATACGTCTGCGCATTTTTTTTTCTTGCATAATTTAAGAGGTGATGTGCGAAATTAAATATTATGCTCTTATGATAATTATAATACAAATAACAGTAATAATAGTCTTAATAATTATATTTTGTTGTAAATTTATTTATTTTTTACGCAAGAAAAGTTAAAGAAACATTTATTATATGAAATACATTACTTAAGAAATAAGTATTTACTAGTTGTAACTATTGCTTACCGATCTCGAATGTTTTCTAAATAATTTCCAACGTAATCGATCATGTCAGCCGAAAATTCTTTAAATTGTTTGAACTCCATTTTATTTTATTTTGACTGAAAATAAAAATTTGTTTAATTATGATATACACGCAGTATATTATAATAATTATACAACTATAATAGAACTGTCTACTTAAAAATGGCTTAAAAAAGTACAACATAGTAAAAGGTGCCTATTCTGATATCATTTAGTTTGCAATATCGATACTGAGATGCTATTACCCACTCCCGAGACGACCAAAAAACTCCTCAATTTCGTCAACTCAACAAAACTGCGTCAACTGATTTGAATATTCTAACTTAGATTAAAATATAAATCTTTAAATATAGGTAATAAGTAAAAATTAAGCAAATATGTAATTAATTAATGTAAATTTAATATGTAACGCCGGCTAATAACCATGTAGTTGATGCCATAAACAATTAATAAAAAAAAAAAAAATACCGATATTGTATATGTATATTTAAAGTACTTACCAATAATTTATTTATTTGTACAAAATATCATGCATTTATGCCTAGGTAGATATTCAAGTATTTCTTGTAAATATATAGTACAAATATGAATCAAACGAATTCAGTGAAATATTAAAAACAATATAATGTAATTACTACTATTACACGCATAAATATTAACTGTTGAAAATATTAATGGAAACAATTATCTTTGTTTTTGAATTAATTAAAGACATGGCGTACTGCTATATTGCTTCATGCTTGTCACTCTCGTGTAGAAAATAATACAATTTAATAATCTACAACACATTCTCTTTTAATTTATAAACACTAAAAACATAATACAACTTCATAACATCATAGT